CTGATTTTATTTTTTGTTCAATATTTTATTTAATATGGAAAGAGAGAGAGAGAGGAAAGGTTGAAACAAACACTTGATTAGTTATTTTGTTGCACTTTTTTTAAAAACTTTATATATTAAGTTGATACTACAAAATTAATATTTTTTTTAAATTTGTTTTTAACACTTTCGCGATAAACATATATTTTTAATTATATTAATATTTTATCACACAAATTATGTTTTTAAATTTATTATTTTATATTTTATATTTATTTAACTCATTATTTTTATAAATAATTAATTATCTCTAATAGCTTACGAGATATCCGCATTTGGAATTATAATTTTTAACCTTTTCGTCGATTTTCTTTCAATATAAAAGGGTTTAATTTTTTAATGAATTAACATACTATTTCATTAACAGTAGAGCGAATTTACTTTACAATAGAGCGATTGAGCAGTGCTGAATTAAATTGTAAATTTACCCATCACATAGATTTTTCCCTTTGCCAACCCTGACCGAAGCTATGTAATTAGGCATTAGCAGACTGAAGTCCGATAAGAAATAATGACAATTTATTAACAATATAAAACATTAAAAATATTGTTGTTTATTCTCTCTTCTGAAATATGGTAAAGATTTGATAGAAATCGGAATGTCTAGTCCCATGATCATATTTCATAATTTGTCTGGAAGTTAATTTAGGCTGCCATTAACTATAGTCGTGAAATTTTGCACTTGCAACTGTGATATCCATATAAACATTTGATAAAAATTAAATAAGTGGACTCGTAATAGTAGGCGTGGCACCATCTACAAAAAGTAAATACTAAAATCCATATATCTGGAAAATTATAACAGCTAGAGTACACAAATTCTCTAAAAGTAATTTATTTATGGCATAAAATGGACGGACCAAGCATGGAAAATTCAGTACTTTTTGATATCGAAAAATACCGTGGTACCTCCTCGACATTTTCGATACTTCTTCTAATTTTTAAACAATTGATAAGTAGTCTACATAGTAGTCAATAGACCAGTCTGTAGAATTGTCAATAGTCTAGTCTATAGCCTAGCCTTTAGTCTACTCTATAGTCAAGTCTGGTCTATAGTCCAGATGGTCTAGTCCATAGTCTATTATCCATTATATAGTCTAGTCTGCAGTCTAATATGTAGTCTAGTCTATAGTCTATTCTATAGTCTAGTATATATATCCTGGTTTATAGTCCATTCTATAGCCTAATCTTTAATCTGGTATGTAGTGTAATATGTAGTCTAGTCTGTAGTCTAGTTTTTAGTTTAGTCCATAGTCTAGACGATCAAGTCCATAGTCTAGATGGCCTAGTCTATTATATAATCTAGACTATAGTCAAGTCTATAGAGTAGACTGTATACTAGACTATAGATTAGAATACATACTAGACTACATATTAGACTGCAGACTAGCCTATATAATTGATTAGAGACTAGAGACTAGACCATTGACTAAACTATAGACTAGACCATAGACTAGACTATAGACTAGACCATAGACTAGACTATATACTACACTATAGACTAGACTATACTACATATAGACTGAACTATAAACTAGAATATAGACTTGACTACATATTAGACTACATACCAGATTAAAGACTAGACTATAGATTGGACTCTTAACCAGAATATAGACTATAGGGTAGACAATAGACTAGACTACAGACTAGACTACATATTAGACTGCAGACTAGACTATATAATAGATTAGAGACTATAGAGTAGACCATCTGAACTATAAACCAGACTAAACTATAGACTGGACTATAGACTATACTACAGACTAGACTATAGACAGGGCTATAGACTACACAAAAGTTTAAAACCTAGGAAAAGTACTGAAAATGTCGAGGAAGTACCACGTTATTTTTCGATATCTTTAATCTAGTACGTAGTCTAATATGTAGTCAAGTCTATAGTTTGGTTAATAGTATAATCTATAATCTAGTCTATAGTCTAGTCTATAGCCTAGTCGATTGTCTATAGTCTAGTCTATAGCCTAATCGATTGTCTATAGTCTATTCTTTAGTCCAGTTTATAGTTTAGTCTATAGTTAAGTCTTTAGTTTAGTCTATAGTCTAGTCTATAGCAAAGTCTATAGTATAGTCTATATTCTATAGTATAGTCTACAGTCTAGTCTATAGTATAGTCTAGTCTATAGTCTAGTCTAGTATAGTCTATAGTATAGTCTATAGTCTAGTCTATAGTATAGTCTATATTCTATAGTATAGTCTACAGTCTAGTCTATAGTATAGTCTATAGTCTAGTCTATAGTCTAGTCTATAGTATAGTCTATAGTCTAGTCTATAGTATAGTCTATAGTATAGTCTATAGTCTAGTCTATAGTATAGTCTATAGTCTAGTCTATAGTATAGTCTATAGTCTAGTCTATTGTATAGTCTATAGTCTAGTCTATAGTATAGTCTATAGTCTAGTCTACAGTATAGTCTATAGTCTAGTCTATAGTATAGTCTAGTCTATAGTATAGTCTAGTCTATAGTATAGTCTAGTCTATAGTATAGTCTAGTCTATAGTATAGTCTAGTCTATAGTATAGTCTAGTCTATAGTATAGTCTATAGTCTAGTCTATAGTATAGTCTATAGTCTAGTCTATAGTATAGTCTATAGTATAGTCTATAGTATAGTCTATAGCATATTCTATAGAATATTCTATAGCATATTCTATAGTATAGTCTACAGTCTAGTCTTTAGTATAGTCCATAGTATAGTCTATAGTCTAGTCAATAGTCAAATCTACAGTCTGGTCTATAGTCTAGTCAATAGTCTAATCTATAGTCAAATCTACAGTTTAGTCTATAGTCTAATCTATGGTCTAGTCAATAGTCTAGTCTATAGTCTAGCCTATAATATAGTTTATAGCATATAGTGCAAACTATAGTCTAGTCTATAGTCTGGTATATATTCTAGTCTAGTCTATTCTATAGTCTAGTAGTTTAGTACTTTAATATCTAAAAAGTATTATTTCTGTTCTAAGTTAGTACTAATAAAAAAATTTCTATTTCCCATGCCTGGGACGGACTAGCATTAGTTACAAGTACATATATACTTTTTTATTTATTTTATTAAGGGGTAGCGAAGCATACTAGGTATAGCTATACTTGATGCTTTTTTGACACAAATAATCTTAATATTCAATATTGATTTTTATTTTCATACAAAAATATTTGTTGTTCAAGATCATCTTATATCACTTGTTAAACATTTTTCACTTTAAAGTTATTTTTGGATTCATGTGATGTTTTTTAAACGCAATTTAGTTTTTTTTTAAATTCACAAAATTTAATGGAATATTTTGAATACATAATTGAGCAACACTTTTAAAATATTTTTGAAAATAAAATGTTGGTGTTTTTCAACGAAAATCTTTAATGTATGTATTTGTCTTTATGCAAAAATATTTAATTTGTGGCTGGAAGGACCATTTTAGAATAAAGTAATTTATATTTATGAAATTTAAATTTTTTATTATTTTTAATTAATTAAAGCGTAAATTTTTTTTGAGAAAAGTGGTAACGAATATTTGATTTTAAAGCAAAAAAATTGTATTTGTGGTTGGAAGGACCGTTTTAAAATAAAGTAAATTATATTTATGAAATTTCAATCTTTCATTATTTTAATTAATTAGAAGAAAATTTTTTTAAAGAAAAGTGAAACAGAATATATGATTTGAATTTGTGTTTAAATTTATTTTTTTAATAATTTTTTATAATTTTTTTTAATAATTTTATTAATATTATAAAGTAAAAAATTATATTTAATTTGGAAAACTTCTATTTTCAAATAGATTGTTTAATAAGTTTTGTTTTTATTTTATATTCTGGAACAGAATATTTAATTTAATGTCACAATATTTTATTTGTGGCTGGAAGGACCATTAAATTTTTTATTATTTTTAATTAATTAGAGGGTAATTTTTTTAAAGAAAAGTGAAAGAGGTTTGAAACAGATGTATAATCAGTTTTGTTTTAATTTAGTAATATATTATTTATTTATTTATTTACTATTTATTATTTATAATTTATTATTTATAATTTATTATTTATTATTTATTATTTATTATTTATTATTTATTATTTATTATTTATTATTTATTATTTATTATTATTATTTATTATTTATTATTTATTATTTATTATTTATTATTTATTATTTATTATTTATTATTTATTATTTATTATTTATTATTTATTTTTATTATTTATTCTTTTTTTCTTCTTTTTCTTTGTTCTTTCTTCTTTCTTCTTTTCTTTCTTCTTTCTTCTTCTTCTTTCTCCTTTCATCCTTTTCTTCTTTCTTCTTCCTTTTCCTTCTTCCTCTTTCTTCTTTCTTCTTTCTTCTTTCTTCTTTGTTCTTTCTTCTTTCTTCTTTCTTCTTTCTTCTTTCTTCCTTCTTCTTTCTTCTTTCCCTTTCTTCTTTCCTCTTTCTTCTTTCTTCTTCCTTCTTTGTTCTTTCTTCTTCCTTCTTTCTTCTTTCTTTTTTCTTTCTTCTTTCTTCCTTCTTCTTCTTCTTTCTTCCTTCTTCTTTCCTCTTTCTTTCTTTCTTTCTTTCTTTCTGTTTCTCCTTTCTCTTCTTTTCCCTTTTTTGTGTGCTCCCTCTTCCTTCCCCCTTCCCGCCCCCTCTTTTCCTCCTTCTTCCCCTTTCCCTCCTTTTTCTTCTTTTCTTTCTTTTCTTCTCCCCCCGTTTTTGTTTCTGGCCGGCGCCTCTCCTTCCCCTTCTTCTTTCTTCCTTCTTCTTTCCCCCTTTCCCTTTTCTTTTTGTCCTCTTTTCGTAACACTCCCTCTTTTTCTCGCCCTTTTCCACTCTATTTTCTTTTTTCCCCCTTTTCCTTTCCTCCTTCGGTCTCCCCTTCCTTTGTTTTCTCCTTCTTCTTTCTCCCTCCCCCTTCTTTTTTGTTCCCCCTTCCTTTTCCCTCTTCCTTTTGTCGTCATTTTTTTTTTATTTTTCTGTTTGTTTTCTT